TGTGTGGAATTAGAAATTTAACATTATTAACACGCATCATTTTGAAGTTGGAACAGAAACAAGTGGAAGCGGAACGTCACAAAATGGAAATGAAAAAAGGTTTTAGTAATGAAAGAAACAAAAACGGAAAAAATGGGAATTAAACGAAACTATTTGGAAACGAAACGGGGCAGATGGTAATAAAGCTAACACTTTAGAATCGGAACGAAACGAAAACTTTTGCAATCGGAACAAAATGATATTGAGACGAATTATTTTGGAATTGGAACAAAAACAAGAAGAAACGAAACGGAACCAAATGGAAACGAAACTAGGATTGAGTAATGAAAACTAAACGGATTTAATTTTCAATGCGTTTTTTATTTCAAAGAAATTAACCATAATAAGCTATAAATTTGGAAAGCAAACTTAAAAAATTGAAAGGAAATCGCAATGTGTATGGAATTGGAATTTAATCGAAAAATTAGATTAGAGCAAATTAGATGAAATGGGACAAATGATATTAACACGATTCATTTTGGAATTGCAACATCAGCAAATGGAATCGGAACAGAACATACTACGAAACCATTTGGCTACGAAACGGGGCAAAATGGAAACAAAACTTTTGGAATCGGAACTGAACAAAATTAAATATTTTGGAAATTGAACGGAACACAATGGGATTGAAACCAAACCTTTTGGAATACGGAATAAAATGACGGAAGTGACGAAACAATTTGGAATCAGAACGGAACAAAATGTAAATGAAACGAAATATTTAGAATTTGGAACAAGCGATTTAAAAACTTTTCTTTTTTGTTTTGTTTACATGTTTATAATGTACATAGTTTTTATTAAATTAAATAAATTTTTAGAAATACAGTAAACTTAAATAAAAGTATTTTTATACAAGATAAGTTCATAATAGGATCTCTTTTATCTTTAACGCATTAAATCTAATAGTTTCGGAAATAAATTTTTGCATAAATCAGAATAATGTAGTTTGCTACTTTAATATTTTTACAGGCGTGAATTTTATAATTTGTGTTGTACACATGTGTGTATGTATGAATGTGTGTATGTACATATATATGTATTTCCATACACATATATATATGTTTTATATAAGGCATTACGCTTCTTAAACAAGCAGCTTTTTTTTAAATTTTTGCAAGGCTTTTATGCTTCATGAACAGGCAGCTTAGGTAAATTTTTTGACGAGGATTATTTGATAATAAAATTATTTTCCATTTAACCGATACTCTGCCACAAGATTAGTTATGTAGCCAGAAATATACATACTTAGCAATTAAGTAAATTATAATACTTAAGCTACAAAGAAATGGCGGAAGAAAAAGTGCTTACATACAAAGCTATATAGCATCAATAAAAATGGGAAACAAAAAATTTAGAAGAAAAAAATTGGTATTTTGTTTAAAACATAAGATAACTTTGGTATTACGCTAAAATTACATTAAATACAATTTAAATTACGCACAAACTATTTTTTATTTGAATAAAAAAAAACTGCATTGTGCTTAAATTTAAAAGGAATCAGAATGTAACATTATATAAATAAAAGTAAAACAACTGGTTACAACTAGGTATGTAAGTGTAAAGTTGAATACATTCAAACTACTTTTTAATTTAAAATCAGCTTTTTAATTAAGAAAAAAAAAATAATAATATTAAATAAATAAACTGTTCCTCCTTCGCTAAGTTATCGATTTATTTTACGCCCAATGTATGTGTGTATTAATTTTTTCTTTTATCATGTATATTTTTTCCGTCCTAAAATATTAAAAGTTCGCTTAAAGTTACTTTTTATTATTAAAATTTTTAAATTTCTTTTCTATGCGAATAGCTCCTTAGAAAACTTAAGCGACAATATACGCTTTTCAAAAACAACTTCGAAAAATACATACATATAAAATATTTGCGTACACATGAATGTATGTACGTACATCCATATTTATCTAAATATAAATATTAACCGCCGCTTTCACCAGCAATTTAAATGGAAAATGATTTTCTTATTTTCTGTCAATTTCCATATAATATTAAAATTCAAGAAAAAAACGTAAAATAATTTTTTACTTAAATTGCTTTCTTGAAATTGGCTGTTAGATTTTTTTTTGCATAGGTCGTAGCTTTTTAATTAATTAATTTGTTATTACACTAAATAGAAAAAATTCACAATATCTTTTTACACTCTTTATACAATCGTACGTATAAATATGCATATGTTTGTATGTTTTTATTACAAAGTGTGTTTACGTTTAAAGAATACGCAAAATTAACATTTAATGCTTTTTTTTTATTTAAATAATTTATGTATGTATAAATACATATGTATGTATGTATGTATAATTAACCTATCACATTATATTGTTGCTTTTCTAACTCGCATTTCGTTAGTTTTGTCTTCAACAGTTGGCTGGCTATTTTTTTTTTTTTTTGTTTAACGCAGCAGTTAGGCACCTTAGTAAAGTAGGGTTTGAAGGTTCTCTGGAGACCCTATCGCAACCATATCGGAGTGCTTTTAACTTGGCATACATGGGGCTTATGAGAAAAGAATATATAAAGTTAAGCTCAAAAATTTGAGAGAAACCTAAACTTTGAGATAACATTTGAGTGGTAAGAGTCTAAAAAAAAAATTGTTCGTTTAAAACCAAATCTTTCATTGAATTGCGGTTACTGTGTACGCATTACTGTCCTTAATTTTTTCTATATACATATATTTACGCATGATTTCTCTCATAAACAAAATTTCCGCATAAGTCCCATTGTCCACCAATTTCACTCTTGTGCTTTTTTATAAAAGTTCTTTCTCAAAGAGAAACAAATCGAAAATTATTTATGAAAATTCATTTTTTTTTAGTTTTGGTGTAATTATGTACATTAGAGTGATAAAAAAAAATTCTTGATGGTTTGGGGCACCTTGTAAAATTTTTCCTCTTGCCGAAAGAGGTGCTGGCACAAAACTCAAAAATCGCCAATATTTTTGTCAATTTCAAAGCGGTCCAGTAGCGCAATTCAAGATCATTGAGCATCCTGTATTGGTAACAGTAGAAAATTGAAAGTCGTTATAGATATTATAGATATCAAAATGGAAAAATTAAAGGAGTGCTCCGTTTTCCACGATGAAATTTTTTCCCATACAAAAATTGCACCACTCTAATGTACACAGGAACCCTCCTAATACACTGTGCGACAATAAATTTTACAGTATACATGCGAAATTAAGGGCCAAATATAATAAAACTGCGTTTTTAGTTTTTCTCTCTGACGTCAGAATTTGTTAAAAGGACTTTGATTTCAAAAATATGATTTATTAAAAAAAAAACTGTTTAAAATATTCAGAGCATTGTACAATAACAATATGGGTGACGAATAAAACAGAAAATTCTACAGAATCGAAAACAATAAAATTTTCTGGTGCGCATTTTAAAATTTTATCCTTGAATATCCTTGAAATTTTCAAATATTTATTTTTGAAAAAAAATTTCGATTAAATTGAGCTCATAATTTTATTTGTTTTGGATAAAAAAAAAATATTTAAAAGCCATTTTCAACACCTATGCGTTCTTGTGAACCAAAAATGTAATTTTTAAAATTCTATAGAATTTCCTCCCTTATTGGGTACTTACATACATATGCATATTGCTACTCTACAATGCACTGATTCTTTTTTTATAATTATTTTAATAAATCATATCTTTTAAAAATCAAAGTCGTTAAAAGAAAAATAAAAAAATCTGAGGGAGAAAACTAAAAACGCAGTTTTACTATATTTTGCCCCTAATTTCGCGAATACTTTTACATACTACATATTGATTGCTTCATGTGTTTTGAAATTTTTTCGTTTTTGTCGCACTGTGCTATGTACGTAAATAAAAGCGACATGCTTCTCTTAAAAAAAATTAGTGCTTTGGTCACTTTGTTGGTGTTCTTTTGGTCTGGTCTGTATAAATACAGTGCTTACTTTCTTTTACAAAAAATATGTCTCATTCTTTAAGGCACATTTTCTTGGCACATTTGCATTGCTTCTTTGATAAGTATTTTCAATAAAATTTTTTAATGGGAAAATCTCTCATAACGGTAAAAACTTTCTACGTAATCGTATTTTAAAACGTCTCATTAAAAATTTGTTTGAAACTGTTATGATAGTTAAAGAAACAAAGCTCAGAAAGCTCAGCCCTCATCTAAAAACGTATAAACATCTCTGTAAACTTGTCCTTTAATATTAGCTAACCACCGGAGTGTAAATTAAAACTTATCGACTGCTTGACACATTTTACAAATTCTAAGCTATACAGTTTCTCTTACAGTAGTCTTCCGATATAGTACCCATGTAATTAGTTTCACATTTTACACTTTGTTTTTTATTTTTTGAAAAATTTTGTTCTTTTAAATTGATTTTATTATTTCTAGTTCGTTAGCACCGATTAGACGCACACGGCACAGCACTCGTATTTAGCCCCAGTATGACTGCATCAATCCCTAACCTTCCGCCTCACTGCTTTGCGCTGCATCGCACCGCCGCACCGTACCGCCGCACCGCCGCACCGCACCGCACCACTTTACGCCACACCGCTTAGTGGCCATTCACCAGCGTCGTTGTGGGCGCATGCACGCCGGGTACACTAAGACTGTTGTCGATGCCGTTCGTCGCCAACACAGGCGTCGTTATGATATCGCCCGCATTCGATTTGCTGCGTGTCACCAACATGGGCGTTTTGGGACGAGGTGTTTCGGTTAGTTTGATTTTAACACGTCCCGTTTCTGGTGAATAGACGGGAGAGTAGCGTCCTGATTTCGGCGACGAAGGCAGATAACTATCGTCATTGTTGTTATTGTGCTCGGCACCCGCTTGTGGGTATTGTGCATACTTGGAGGCACGTGGCGACTTCGGTGTGGGGTAACGTGGTGTGATGGGATGATATTCGTGTGGTGCAGCTGCTTCTGTGGCCGGTGGTGCACTCTCTTTGGTTACATGATCACCGGGGCCGGTGCCATTATTGCCGTTCAACAATGGCTGTTGTTGGTTGGGTCCGTCTTTGACATCGTTGGCGTCGTAGGGTTTCTTCTGGCCGGTGCCATTAATCGGTTTCGCGTGATCCGATTTGGTTTGGTCACCAATGAGTGGTGAATGTTCGTTGCCGTTGCGCAATGGTTTGCCTAAGTTCTTCTTGTCCATGTCGAGCAATTCGGTTTGGCGTGGGTTTTCCGCATCGTGCGCGGCATTATGGTTGTGTTTGCAGCGCTTGATGCCCACATAGAGTATCAAGCCGACAACAATTAAACCGAGCACACCCAGCAAAAAGTAGGTGGCATTGCTATCGTCCTTTGAATCGTTGGACACATTTGCGGTTAAAATGGGGCTAGCTTCGCCGCTGGTAGGTCCCTCAGTGTTTACACCGAACACACCCTCCGATTCAGCATTTTGTTGCACAGCTGGAACAATGGCGTCTTCGGTTACCGGTTCAAGAGCTTTGTCGTCTGCGTGTGCTTCAGTTTTTTCCTCTTCAAAACCACTAGTGTCGAATATTCCCATACCGGCACCGAAGATATCTGCTCCATTTCTGTGCACCTCCTCTTCCTCCTCCTCCTTGTCTTCCTCCACATCCTCTTCTGGTGCGGGTTGTTCAACGGGTTTGTTGTCGAAAGCGTCATCGGTGTCATCCTCATCGGGTGCCTCGAAATCATCTGTAATTAGAGGACCGCGTGCTATGTTGGGTATTATCAATGGACCAGCACCGCTACCAGAACCATCTTCCTCTTCTTCCGCCTGCTCAATCGCTAGATGTGGCGCATCGGTTGTAGCATGTTCTTCCGAGTTCTCTATATCAGGCACAGCAGTTGTCATAGCTAAATTGACTGGCGCATTTATGTCACTCAAATCGCCGGAGCCTTCAACTGTGTCCAATTGTACCGAGTTCGTCTTGGCTGTGCTCGCCTTATCGATGGGTATAAATGCCTTTCCCAACTCATCTTCATCGTCCAGATCGCCCGAGCCCTCGATCGGCTGGTCGCCCATCATCAGTTCATTGTCTTCCTCGTCACGACCGTTTTTTTCGTGCGCACAAATGTCCGACTGTTTGACCTGCAACCATGGCTTGCCTTTAGCCTCGGTCGGATACGTACATGTGACGGCGTGTTCCATGAACACATGACGCTCCTGAAGCCAGTTGCGCACCTCCAGAGTTTCGCAAGAGCAGTTGATTTGGTTGTGGCTCAACTCGAGTGTCACCAAATTCGAAAGCCGTGTAAATTCCAGTGGCAGGCTGGTGATGTCATTATGTTGCAGATTCAAAACCTGCAAATGTGCTGGCAACTTAGCCAACTTGCTCGATGTAATGCGGTTGTGTTTGAGATTCAACTTCTTAATGCGTCGCCCAAGGTGACCAATTTCGTGCAGCTCATTGTGTGACAGATCAATTGATGTGACATCGGGCAATTTCTCCAGCGGATGTGACAACCGTTTCAAATTCAAATATGACAGATCCAGCGAGTGTATGGGCAGTGAATCTTCTTTGGCTTCGTAGGAACGCAAACCCTCCAAGCTGGAACATTTGGCGTGCAGGAAAGGCGAGTGTGTATGCTGCGCCAGTACGCATTCACAGTCTGCAGGGCAGTTGTAGTTATTGCTGTCGGCTGTTGTATGATTAACAGTACTGGACGCTTCTGTGTTGGGTGTGGGTGAGGCCTGAACGAGTAGTGCGCAGAGTAGTAGCAACGACGAAGCGCAGAGTATGGGCAGTTGCCTCGTTCGGGGATGTGTGAGTACCAGCGGCATTTTCAGTGCGTCTATATATGTGTGTGTGGGAGAGTGCAAGGGAGCGCTTCTGTTTGGATGCTTTAGCTCAAGACTAGATAGGTACGGCAGTTGATTATAAGGAGGGAGCACACAACCGGCTGATGGGCGTGGGTGTTAGCTGAAGACGGTAGGAATCGATGAGGAGGTAATCTGTAAGAAAAAGAGAGAACAAATTTTAATAGTTGGTAAACTTTTAATAATTACGATGAAATATACGTAAACCTCTCAAACTCTAAATACCTATTTATAGTACATATAAACCTATAACGTTCCTTCGGCATATTTTTGAACTTGAAAAACTTACAAATGTATTGCGTACTTCGGTTAATTATAATTAAAAAATTCAATACAGATAGTAGCGTTCCTCGGCAGATGTTGTAGCTTCTGTCACCAGAAAAACACTGAGTGTTTCCATGAATGCTTACACACGATTTCCTACTCGCTATATTTTATCTATAGCAATTCAGTTTTGATAAGCTATCAATTGCTGCGGAAGCTAATATTCTCTCTGCAATCTTATGTACGTCAACAATTTCCATTGGAACTAAGTAGCAATCTTATCTGTTTTGATGAGGTATGAGTCCTAAGACTACAATCGAGTCGAAACATTACTAATAAACCTGATGTTAATAAACAAAGAGCAAGAAAAATATTAGTAGTTTTCTGAAAACCCTAGATACCTCTTTTATGCTATGAAAACAAAAGCAGTATTGGTCTATGGCGTCGTAGAAGAACTTAAAATGTGTTTATTTGTCTATGACATGTGGACATTAACGGAAAACCGCACTCGAATAGCAATACGATCCCCACAAGCTTTGCACCACCTGCTCAAAACTTGTTTTATAGAGAGTTAAAGTTTTAATTTTTGAGTTAAAAATTTTATAATTTTATATGCAATTTTGCGTATTTACTCAACCCCCTCAATATGCCGAAGATTTTCATATTCTCCTACCACGTCGGAAATATCAACAACCAAAATAAGACAATTAAAACCTTTACTTTCCAAAAATCCCACCGTTTTTGAAAGTCACAGTTTTTTTTTTGTTGAAAATACAGCCTTTTCTTGGGAATTCATTAAATTTTCTCTATCCCCATAGTGTGCAGACACGAATTCAGATGATTGTAAACAAAACTAGTTAATTTTTGAGCAAAAAACAAAACCGACTTCAATCCTAATATAAAATTTTAAGAGTAAATACCATTTAATTGTTCGATATCTAATGATCGTATCTAAACCACGTTAGTATGGGACCACCTTTGAGGAACCATCTTTTCTTCAAAAAAAAAAAAAAAAAAGAATTATAGTAAACGGTTAACGGACCACGTTATTACACAAAAATAAAAATAAAAAATCCGACGAATTGATATTCTCCTCCTTTTTTTGAAGTCGGTCGAAAATAAACACAAAGGCATTCTACTAGACCATATTTTTTCAATTCATACTAAGTAACTTAAAAAATTGCGCAATCAGTGACTATAGATTTTATTATAAAAAAAATAATTGACTCAAATTTAAGTTAATCTAAATTGCTCCAAAAACAATGCGCGTACAGCGATGGAGATCTGACAATCAATGTTAATTTCATGGTAACTAAATTAGAAAATTCCAAATATGCATTCACCAAAGTGCATGTGCACATTTATACAGTGGTGCTGGTCGCTTTGAATCCACGGTATCAGCGACAGCAATCAGTGCATACAGATGCTTATCGGATCGAGTTATTTGAGAGTGTTTGTTTATGCAGCTTGTGATGCTCTGGCCGATGACGATGACCAGTTTTTACGGCGCGCATGAAAATCTCGTAAAAAAGGAGAGGCGTGCTACACACGTACTTACATGGTCAATTACGCGCAACAAGTTGGCTAAATTGCAATTTTCGCAATGCAAATGTGTTAAAATTGTTTAGATAAATGGGTGTGTCTGGGAGTAATTTGGAATAAAGGCGCAAAAGACAATCGAATGTACTACCAACGATGTACAAATGTACAGTTGTCCACAAAATAATAGGAGTGCGATATTTTGACCAGTTTTGGCTATTTGTCTTTTGTTTATTTAATGTTTATTATTTTTTTATAAAAGCCTAGCTGGCTATACGACAAACACCATATAAATTCAGATTTTAAACTTTGTATAAAAATTATAAAAATTTTGCAATTTTTCACCCAAATTTCAAACTTTTTAATCAGAATCTTTAGAAAAAATTCTGGTATGCAGTTTTGTAGCACATTCAATTCTAGAAGTGCAAGTTTCAAGCGGCTAAAAAATTCCGTTGATTTTTGAGATTTTTTTTGGTTAAAGGTGTTTCGCGTTTTTTCCATACAATTGTCGACAATTTTCTTTTATATGGAGGACACTGCCAGCAAAAAAATTGCCAAAAATCAACGGAATTTTTTAGCCGCTTGAAACTTGCACTTCTTCAGACTAGAATTGAATGTGCTACAAAACTGCATACCAGAATTTTTTTTTAAGATTCTGATTAAAAAGTTTGAAATTGAAAAGACAAATAGCCAAAACTGGTCAAAATATCGCACTCCTATTATTTTGTGGACAACTGTATGTATGTACATATGTCGGTATGGATATGCGGTATATGTATATTATAAAAAGTGTTGTTTAGTTAAATGAAACGATATTCAATACATATACTTATATACATACAAATGTATACTATTTAGATAAAAATTTCATGCCTCCTAGATTTAAGATAATTTACTTTAGATAAAAAACCAACTAGCCACTTTTTACTTTTATTTAATCGTAGCAGATCAATATTGCTGGCGCACATTTGTGAATGTCCCATCGCCACTTGTTGCATTCACCAGCTGCAGTGGAGTTGCTCACCCAAGTGGTGGTCGGTCTGTCGCTTGCATGCGCCTACACACTTGCGTGTCCCCCTGTAAGTTTGCAAATCGATTGAAGTGGTTTATTTTAAAATGTCAACAGCACATTTGAAATGTGGAAAATTGATGAAGTATTTGCAATATCTGCGGGAGGCATACATACATAACATTAAAAATAATACGAATGTCAATAAATCACTGCGAATAGCAATAATTGTCTTATATGCATTATGTTACGATGAAGTGTATGAAAAATGAAAGCCTATTCATTTTTTGGGTGAAAGCTCTAATTGGCTCTTTTCGGCTGGTGGCTGGTTGGTGGCTATTGGCTGCCGCTTTGAAGACAGATGCTATCCGCTCGGCTTACAGCTTAAACGAAACGACCCGGCCTCTTACTTTACTGCTATAGTTAACTTCTTGTTTGCTTGGCCTCCAAATGTCCTCGGGCCAATAGCCATTTGACAGTTTTATTATTTGTTATTAATTTATTTTGCCGGCTGTGTGCCAACTGTTTTTTCCAAATTGTGCCGCATTTGCTGCGTTTGTATGTTTGGCAAAGAGATATGTCAAGCTGTTAGCTGCGGGAAGTATGTATGTATGTATGCACAAATGCACTCATATGAAAGCTAGGTAATGCGCTTACACGTGTACAAACATATCATGTACTTGTACTTATATATATGTATGTTAATGTTTATACAGTTTTGAGTGCGCCTTTATGCAACTATCCGGGCGCTTAAGTGCTCTTCAGCGTTTTCGCCAATCGACTTTTTACCCATTTTACAGGCTGAAATATACAAAATCAGAGTCAACCTAATGGCAATTGCCACTGATATGGCGTGCAATAACACCTACGCAGTGTTGCAAATCGCCGTCGCAGTTATAAATCTACAAAGCAGTGTCTAGTCGCGATGGAGGGGAGAGGGAGGCGGAGATGGTGATAGTAGTCGTAGCCACTGCACCTACATTGCACAGTGAAATGGGCAACACATTTGGTGACACGTATGTACTTACGAGTGTATGCTGTAACGGGCGCATAAAGCGGCATTTGAAAATGTAATACGGAACCCTACATCGAACAGTGGTCGAAACAGCCGATCTAGCGGAAGTAAATTCAAATTTTGGAATATGAAAATCCTCCATTTTTTTTCATTTGACTACCAATCGACTGTTGAGTCTATGGATACCTTTTGTTTTGTTATCTATATTCAATCAGCTGTAAACATAATAAATGTTGTAGAACAACAAACAACTGCAGTTAATTCCCGAGATAATTCCGAATTAACGAGTTGATCTGGATTAACGCTGCCGTCTGTCTATGCTTTTAGGCTGTAAGTTTATGTACTGATTAAATCAGCGCATCTGGCCACCCTAGCTTAAACAGACTTAATGCTATTACCCGCGCTAAAGGATGCTACATCTAACAGTAATACTCTTTTCTTAAAATTTGACATGTTTTTATGATGACCTGATGTTTGTAAAAAAAAAAAATAGACAAAACTATTGCATTTTTGATTGGTAACACTTCGAGCGCCTACGTCATTGAATGGTGTGGTGAAGTTTCCGGTCCTGAATTATTAATCAGTTCAGATTCAAAATAATTTTTTTATATATTTTTTATCACATTCAACAATTTTTATTGAGCTTTAGGTATTTCAAATCAAAAAATGTTTCCAAAAAACAAACATGTTTAAATGACTTGTTGATTAATTATAATGATATCACTAAAAAAGCTAAAGTGAACTCTATTATTTCAGAAGACATTAATTTTCATCCGCTGCTAGAAAAAGCATTTCGCCTACTGTGCATCGCCCCGCAATTTAAGATTGAATTTTGTGCTTTTGCATTGGTAGTACATCTACGAATATGTTTGTACACACAACCCACTTTAAATGCGTTCGCATGACAATTGAATTTCTTTTTCGATACATGTACATAGAGACATGCATATAAGGTCATAAGCTTTCCTTTCGGGTAACTCATTTTTAATGTTTTTTTTTCTCAGTGGCTAGTATTTTTTCATTTCAATAGTTGCCATCGCTTAAGGCATTTTCGCTCTCATATAATTGGTAAATTTAATCGAAAAATAAGTAAAGACAATGTAAAATCATTAGTTTTGTCATTGTCATTGTCACTGGCGGCAAATTTAAACAGAAGTTGCCTCACTGCCGGCGAGTTGCGCATACATATGTACATATCGTTACACACAAGTACTTTTGTATGACTGGACGCGCCAATTTAAGTTAATTGAATTGTCTGCGGCCTACTGCTTTGTTTTATTGAATTATCTTCACAACATAGCGTGGCTG